TGGGTGCTGAGCCTAGGAACCTCTTCTGATAAGTGGGCACCGGTAAGCGGGGCTTCCCTAGGAGGATGCCAAGGACCATCTGACATGTGTCAGCACCAGTGTCACAGTTCTGTTACAATATGAGATTGTTTGGCTGCTTCGCTTGGACCCAAGAGTTCTGTTTCTCTTGCTCTGGGAACAAGTGGCGGTGACCTTGTTTGGGGCGGGTTATGAAGCAAGCAGGCTTCCTTCTTGACTCCAAGGTCACTAAGAACGTGAAGTGTTTGGGGGGCTCCTTTCTCTGAGGCCTCGAGGCAGAGGAGAGGGGAGGCTTTGAGATGGGAAGGGACCCATGGGCTCCCCCAATGTGGCACTGGCCCGCCGAAGGGGCTGCAGGGCATGGCTGCCCTGGGGGCCAAGGCGTGCGGCTGGCAGGCCCGAGGAGCGTGGGAAGACCTCGTGTGGCTGGTGGCTTCCGTGTCGGGCAGCGCACTTGAAGCCGCCCTGGCCTTTGTAGTGCCCTTTGGACTCGAGCTCCGTGTGCCTGTTGTCCAGGCCTGCCAGGCACATCGGGTGACGGCTGCCTCCTTCCCACACCCTCCAGGGCCCTTCCCAGTCGCTGGTGGGCCCCCAGGGGTCTGAGCCAGCTAGTCCCAAACATCCTCGCCTGTGTGGCCCGGCCGTCAGTCATTCTGTCCCCAGCTGCCCCTAAGCCACTCAGGTAGCTGCTTTCCAAAAGGCGGCACGACAGAACCCCAGAAGCAGTTTCCTGTGTGCCGACTCCTCCTACTGGGGAGGTGGAGGTGGCCACCAGCTACCCGCTGCCAACTCTGCACTGGCGTGCCTTCACCTCCTGGGGCTGTGGGTGCTGCCCAGGCGGGCCTTTGAAGTGGCCAATTTCCCCGACTCCAGCCCCCTGCCTACTTGCCCAGCCCGTGTCCTTCACGGAGGAGGTGGAGGAGGAGCTTAAGGGCTGAGGCGCGCTGGCAGCTTTCGGGATTTTCCAGTAAACGCCTTCCTTTCGTCTTGCTTCCTCATTTTCCCGACTGCTGGCTCTTTTAGGGAGCGTTTCCTGGGGCTTCCACCCTATTTTTCCCGTCCTACTTTGCCCAAAGCCTCTTCTGAGGCAGCACCTGGCTCTTGGTGCCCTGCCAGGTGGCTTCCTGGGCCCTGGTTTTCCTTGGCCAGCTGGGCAGCCTCGCCCAGACTCCTGCTCCCCTGGCACTCCGCCTGGGACGGGGCTGCAGTCCGCCCGGAGGGTCGACAGGTGGCGCTGTGACACCAGCTTCCCCTTTGCGGGGTGGGGGGTTAGTAGGGTGAAGGAGTTGCTTACCTGCCTGTGCCTTGGGCACGTCCTGAGGGTTGAGTGGCCCACTCACCGGAGGGTGTGGCACGGAGGAGGGGCCTGGGAAACGCTAAGTGCTCCCTGGCAGTGGTAGGGGGTTCACTGCAATCCCAGAGTGTTCTGGTTGGGACTGGCAGCCCCCCCCCCACGTCTCACTTCAAGGAAAGCGAGTCTGCTGCGAGCGGGTGCGAAGAGCGAGCGAGCCTGGCCGTGCCATCCAAGTGCTTGGCCCTGTTTCTGGTCCACACAGAGTGTCCGTGCCTCCCGCTTCCTCTCGCGTACTCACCCTTTCCCGCGCGCACGAGCCGAGCCCGCTCGGCCGCCAAGTTGAACTCAGGGGAAGGATGTTTGTCTGCCCAGGACACGCGGCTTCTCTTCAGCTGGAGCCTTGAACCTGAACCTTCGGGAACCCCTGGCTCTTGGCTCGTCACCTGCGCTGTCACCTGCGCTGTCAGCAGGCGCGGAGCAAGGGCTGTCGCTCTTGGGTGGTAGACGCGGGCCCGGGGAGGGGTGAGCCGGCTGGGATCTCTTGAGCTATTGTGCCCTGGGAGCTTGGCAGCTCCGCTCCTTCCCCTGCGCGTCCCGCCGGCGTGGGTCTGGGCCCGGGGGCCCGGGAGGGGACTGACAGGGCAGTTGAGGGCAAGAACGCGGGGCCCAGGGTGCAAGGGACAGGGATGTTCCAGAAGACCGCCCTCCTGGGCGGGTTTGCTCTGCAGTGCCAGGGTCCCGGTTCTTGGATCAGCTGGGGCCCGTGGGAGCCTCCTGCAGACCCAGGGAGCGTTTCCCACCGGCCCGCTCAGCTGCCGCTGTGCCCCAGCCCGGTTGGCTCCGGCCGCTGTTGCCTGGCACGCGGTGGTTTGCCTGACCGGTACGGTCCACGTCTGCCTGCGTCCTCCGAACCGCTGAGTCCAGCGAGAGCTGGGGGCCCGGACCCACTTTCTGTTCCAGCCTCATCCTTGTGGGGGCAGGAGAGGCATCATCTCCAAGGCCCCTTTTCTTCAGCGTGTCAGTTCTGGGGGCGCTTGGGCCAGTCCCCGGCCTGAAGGCCTTCACAGCTGGGCAGGCCGACAGGGCACAGAGAACAGTGCAGAAGTGCCAGCAGGAGGGGTCCGGTGGAGCAGCCAGATGGAGGTGGGCGCTGGGGCTGGTCAGGAGAGCCCATTGAGAGAAGCTGGTGGTCGAGGGGGAAGCTGGAGTTCTCGAGCAGTGTGGGAGAGGCCATGAGCGGCAGTGCGAGGTAAGCAGAAGCAGGCATCCCCCGGCAGGGCGTGCTGGCTGCCACTGGAGCCGAGCTCGCAAGGGGAGATGGGACCGGGAGCCAGGCAGAGGCCGAAGGTGCTGGGCAGGTGGCCAAGAGGGGACAGGATCAGATGGGCTCGGAGAGAGGTCTCCTTGACTTTCCTTGGGGCCTGGACGCAACGCTGTGGGAAAGAAGGGGTGAGGGTCACTCCCAGGCAGTGGCCTCTCTGGAGGTGACTAGCTGATGGCCGACTCCGGAGGTGAGGAGTCAGTGGCAGTGACGGTTGGTCATCGGGAGGAGGGGCGGGTTTGACAAGGTGACTGGCCCTCTGCCCCAGAAGCTGCACAGCTAGTGCCCGAGGCCGGGGTGCAGGGCCGGTGCTGGTGGTCCTGCTGGAGGCTTGGCCCCGCGCTGGCACCGGTGGAGGACGGAGCAGGAGACAAGGGCTGGGGCCAGCTGAGAGGGCTTGGCCGAGGGAGGTGTTGGGGGTGTCTGATGGGGCATACTGGGGGGATGGGATCCAGGGTCGAGTGATGCAGAGTCGTGCTGGGACAGATCGGAGAAACAGGGCTAACAGGATGGGTGGGTAGGGGACACCCTCACTACAGGCCGGGGCTGAAAGTGTGACCATGTCGATGGCCAGGTTTGCAGGTGCCCCCGGGCGGTCTGTGCTGGCGTCTACGTGTTGGCCCTGCTTCTCCATGGCTGGGCGGGCGTTGAGGAGAGCGGGGCTCCCCGCGCCCTGCTGCTGTCGTTGCCGCTGCCCTGGGCCGGCCCGTGGGTAACCGGGGCGACGGCCACGGTCACTTGCAGCACTTCTGGAGCCCTGCCCGCGTCAGCCGCCTGCCTGGCCTCGGAGTGGGAAGAGTGTCACCCTTGGGCTTGCCCGCCCCTCTTTGCCCGCTGGGTCCGCCAGGTGGCATGCGTGCCCCCCGACCCGTTTCAGCTGGGAGGAACGGTGGGCTCCCCGTCCCGGCTCACAAGCGGCCTGCCCTTGGCTGGGGGGCTGGGCTTCGTCAGACTTGCCTTCTCCCCGGGCCCTCCAGGGGACCTGCATCCCGGCCTGAGAAGCGGGCTCGTTGCTCCCTGGCTTCCAGACGCTCCCTCCACCTCCAGGGCTCCAGCCCAGTGGGGGGCAGGCTGGTCGGCACTGGGGGGCTGAGACAGGGAAACCTGAGCCCTGGGCCACGAGGTCCCAGCTGCTAATTTTAGAGAGCACATGTCACTGGAACCTGTCCCTCCTGCCAGGAGCCAGACCTGGCTCTCCCTGTGCTGCCAGGGGCCCCTGGAGCCTCGCCCCCAAGCAGGAAGCCCCTTGGAACCCGCTGCCCTCGGTGCTCCCTCTCGACTGGCCTTGCCAGGCCTCAGGCCGCGCAGGATGCTCACCTGGCCTGCCCCCCCTCAGCCGGTGTCGCGCAGTCTGTCTGCTGTGGCGGGGGCGGGGCCGAGCACGCACTTGGGTGTGGAAACAGCCTGAACGAAGCTGCGTTTCCTCTTGGTGGCCCCTGCACACACCGTGCCTGCTTCTGAAAACTCTGCAGGCAGGGCGAGGGTCCCAGCCCCCCCTCTTCTGACCCTGTGAGTTAACTTGGCTTCCTCAGTGAATGAAGGGGTCCTTCCTCTTCCCTCTGGCTAGGTAACATCTTGGTGCAGGGCTGGCTGCTGGGCAGTGGGGCTGCGTGTGTCCCCAGCTGCCACCTGCTTCCCTCTCGTGGTGGGTCTGGACGTGGGACATGTGCCTGGGCCACGAGACTTCGTCTCCTGCCCCCCAGCCCTGGAAGACCTTCCTGAGGCGATGCTGTCCAGCAGCCGTGTTGTGGCAGCTGCCTGGGCCCACGTGTTGGGAGGGGGCTGGGGGGGAGTCATCTCCACCCTGCCTCTTACTTCGGACCTGGGCGTGGTTCCCAGATCATTTAGAACATGCAGTGGCTGCAGCCCAGGCCTTGGGTCTGTCAGATGGGAGTTGGGATTCCAGCCATGTCAATTTCTGACTTTTGACCTTGACCACTTGTTTCAGCCTGCTGAGCCTCACTTTCCTCTTCTGTGAGATGGGGGCAGCGACAGTGCCTTCCCCTATGGGTGGGCACAGGGATTCAGCTAGCCTGGCCTCACAGGGAGGCCAATGGCCCGGTCCTGGTCAGCACTGGTGGCGGGGAGGGGGGTTGGTCCAGGCCCTTTGCTGTGGGTCCTGCCCACCTCAGCTCCCAGGCTCCTACTTGTACCTTCAGGGCTGGCGACAAAGGCAGGCTCCTGGGCTCCTCCTTTCCCCTGGTGTTGCAGGAGCCAGGCCAGCAGCCTCTCACCGCACAGTGACAATCTGAGAGGCAGGTCCTGGGGGGGAGGCAGACTTGGGGCCGGAGCAACCCAGAGATGTGCACGCCAGTCACCTCTGGCTTTCTTTTGCTTGCTTCTCCCTTTTTCTGTCAATACCTGCAGCCTGCTTAGACGCCTGGTGACGCTCATCTCCCAGCAGGCCACACTGCTGGCCTCCAATGAAGCCTTCAGAAAGCAGGCAGAGAGTGCGAGCGAGGCGGCCAAGAAGTACATGGAGGAGAATGACCAGCTGAAGAAGGTGTGGGGGCCTTCCTGGCCCTGCCTCGCAGCTGTGGTCTGCCCGGGCGTTGTCGAAGCTGACGGCGAGGTCGAGGGGCAGCCAGTACTTCCCAGTGGGGGCTGTGGGGATTTGGTGGGAAGGGGCGGCTCTACCCACTGCACCCAGGTGGGCTCCCGGCTAAAACTGACTCCCTGGCGAGCTGAGTCCTGTGTGAAGCGTGAGTCAGTGAGAACAGCAGAAGGGACCTAAGGCCCCTGGGTGCCTGAGGACAGCTCTCAGCCAGGGAGGGAGGGGAGGCCAGTCCTAGAAGACTTGCTGGAGGAGGTGAGGTGTGAGCCAAGCTGGCACAGAGGCAGGGACTGGGGCTGATAGGTAAGGGGGCGTGGGATTGGCAGGGCCGATTTCGGGGCTCCCAGACCTGAGAGAGCCTTGGGATATGGAGAGAGGAAGGAAGGGCCTAAGTCAGTTGGGGGGACTGGCAGAATTCCCCAGATGATAGCAATCGCGTCACTGATGGACTGGTCAGCTCCACAGAGCTGCCGGGAAAGGAGGCAGGGCCGGGGGCCAGGGCGGGAAGGGCATGTGGCCTGGGCAGCAGCAGGTGGCTCTGCTGGCCCTGCCCTATCCCTCGGCCGGTAGCCACACCTCGGCCTTGGCCGGGTGCTGGGAACGAGCAGTGGCCTAGTTCCGTGCTGACATTTCCGAGGGGCAAGTGCCCACGGCAGCTTGAGGAATCACAGCTCAGCGGGGAGGACCCCCCTCACCCCGCCCCGCCTCCCCCGTCCATCCTGCTTGCCCTCCCGGGTCACCCAGTGCCTGGTGTGCTTCGTAGGAAACAGCAGCAGGAGGAGTCAGGCTGGATGGCAGGGATGCCGAGAGGAAGGTGGAGGAAGAGAACAGGAGCCTGAAGGCTGACCTGAGGAGGCTGAAGGACGAGCTTACCATCAACAGGCAGAGTGAGTGGTGTCTTGTTGAGGGTGCCCCTTGCCCCTTGGGCCAAGGTATCAATGACAGGCTGACGTGTGTGCACAGGAGCTGGGCGGCATGAAGCGAGTTGGCTGCCCACTCGTCCCACCCCAGCAGTTGGCTTGGCAGTGCATGTGGGGTCCCACCCAGAGGCCCATGGAGCCCCAGATGCCCTCACCCTTGGGCTAAGTCTGGAACACTGCACCCACCGTGGGGCTCAGCGTGGGCACTGCTGTCATTGGGGGTGGGGAGGGCGGACGCAGGAGGCTGACTTGGAGCTGGTTGGGATGGTCCTGTCTGCTCCCCTCCTGAAGGCGGCTCCTTACATGGTGCCCTGCTCTGCCCTGATGTGCTCAGAGTGTTCATCCTGGGCGCTCGCTGTGCTGAAGTCACTTCCCCCTGGGCCCAGGGGTGTCCCTCCGTGAAAAACCAGTGTGTGTGGGGGGGGAGGGGGCTTGGTATTTTCTGGCTTCGCTTCAGGGACCCTTGAGACAGTCGCCAGAGCTTCCCTGTGAGGATTTGTTGTGGAACGTCTCGTGGGTCGAACCAGGCCCATGGCTGATGTCTCCTCCCTCATGGCCTTCTCATTTTGCCTTCCTCCTTGTTTGCATCTTCTCCAGAGCTGCAGAAAGCCGAGCACGAGGCCCTGGCCATGCGGAAACAGTCCGAAGGCTTGACCCAGGAGTACGACCGCCTGCTGGAGGAGCATGCAAAGCTGCAGGTTGGTCTGTGCATCCTGTGGTGGCTGCTCCGGGAAGGAGGCCCCGACACTCAGCTTTCTTCGGGCCCAGCCACAGGCTGCGGGGCAGCCCCTGTCTGCTTGGGCCCCCTCCCCACGGGGGACCGATCTGGCTGCTTTCTCCTCTCTCTCTTTCTTCCTCCACCTTGGCTGAGTTTGACTGGGCTGAGAGGAGAGCCTGCCCAGCATGCCAGCCTGGCCCAATAGCCAGAGTCCTTTTGCGACGGGAGAGGTGTGGCGTGGGCAGTGGCCTTGGCCCATTGTGCTACACCCACCTCCTGTCACGCCCACACTTGTGCCTCTGAGAGGCGCTCCTTCCCTTACACATCACCCCCAGTCCATGGTGTGGGCTTCTGACTCAAGTCCAGGTCTGCCAAAGGGCCTAGTCAGGAAGTATAGGCGCAGGCGACTCCCGGGCTGATGGCCGGCAACCTGCTCTCCTTCATGTTGGAGGTGACGTGGGCCAGAGAGCCCCACCTACTCCTCCCAGCCTGGTGTCACTCCTCAGACCACACCTAGAAGCTTAGGTGGCCCTGAAATTGGGTGCAAGGGCCTGTATGCAGCCCGAGCTCTGATACCTTTATTTGGGCACCACAGCAGGCGGAGAGGAAAGGCCCAGCCCTCAAAGGGGAACGGACACCCTCAGCCTGGGCTGGCTCCTGGCAGGCTCTGTAGGAAGGATATGCGGTTGGGTGGAGCCTCAGCTGGACTTGGAAGGGACTTGATTGTGGAGGCTTCCCTGGGGTGCAGGTGCTGGTAGAGCGATACCCCAGATGGGGGGCTGGCAGGGGCTTAGTGCCCGTGAGGGCTTGACGGACCCGCCCTGGGCAGTGCTCTTTGCTGCTGTTGCTGGAATGGGGTCTTTGGGTGCTGCCCAGAGTGGGCCCCTGCCACCCTGCAGCTCTGCGCTCTCTCCCCTGCAGGCGGCTGTGGACGGCCCCACAGACAAGAAGGAGGAGTGAAGGCCCCTTCCCGGCCCGCCGCCCGCTGCCTCCGGAGCCTCCTCACCCTTGGTCTTGGGTTTGCTCCCTCTGCTTCCCCCCCCTCAAGCCGCTTGAGTTCTGTTCTCTCCCCCACGTTCCACAGGGGCGGGCTCAGCCCAGTAACATGGCCCCAGCCGGCGCCCAGCCCTCGGAGGGGAGTGCCCGCGGCTGGCTGTGCCGGGCTTGCTTCCTGCCGGGCTGAGGTCCTTCTGTGTTGTACTTTCAAGTTACTTCAGGGCTCCAAGGCCTGTTTTCTCTGGTCCTGCCGGAGGCGGGTGGAGGGAGCAGGGGAGTGTTTCTCTTGAAGGCAATTAAAGTTGTTATGATGTTGCTGGTGTGTGGTGTGGCTCAGGCTGCCAGGGCCTGCTGTTCCCCTCCCGAAGTGACCTGGACGCGGCCACAGGCCGCTTTGAGACCCCCAGTCTTGCCCTGGAGGCCGGCAGGATGTTTCCAAGGCTCACTCAGCGCCCCCAACCCCCGGCTTCTGCTTTCCTTACATCCTAGACCGGGCCCTCCTCGATGGCCACTTGGGACTGCACCCTGTCACTCTTTCTGGGGGGTGGCACTTGGAAGACTCAGTAAATCAGCAGGACTTCTGGGCGGCAGACTCGCCTGCTGTCTCTGGGTCCTGTCCATCACTTTTGGGACAGATACCATGTGGCAGGGTGCCACCATCCCTTCCGGCCCCGCCCTGCAGGCTTGCAAGATGACCTCTGACTACCGCCAGCCGACAGAGGAGACTTGCCCTTGACAGTGACCTCCGGCTGGCCCAGGGCAGTGCTAGGTTGTGGCGAGGGACTCTGGGTGGGTGGGGGTGTCCCCCTCACGTCACCACAGCTGGCTGCAGCAGGTGGCCTGTGCCGAGCAGGGCCCGGTATTTCAGGCCAGCCTGAGAGCCAGGCCTGGGGCAGGGGGCCTGGAGCTACCATGGTCGCTGTTCTGTTCTTAACATGGTACTTTTACCCTCTGCCACCTTTGAGGGCTCAGGGAAAACCTTGGTGTTTCCTTTTGGAGTTGGGAGGGCTGAAGTTCTACGTGCTCACGGCCAGCCATGAACCCATTTTCTGGTGGCCTGTCCCCGTGCCCCTCCCCCACCCCCGGCCAGTCTGTGGTGGCGTCAGGGGCAGGGCGCAGCTGACTCCCTTCGGTTGCTGTGCCAGGGCCGAGGGCTAGTCCCACTTTTCCAGGAAATGCTCCCTGACTACCCTGACCTCCCTGGGCTCACCCTTCTCTGAACTTCTAGAGGCCAAAGTCTAAGCAGCGTACCTGTAGGTTCTTCCCTGGCCAGCCCTGGGCTGGGCCCCAGGGAAAAGCTGCCCCAGCCACGCCTTGAGAGCACTCTGTCTGGCAGGGGATGAGGCAGCAAGCGGGCAAAACCCTAATAGCTAGAAACCAGAACAGCCACCCAGGTATACTGGAGGGCCAGCCGCGGCAACGGGCCGCTCACGGGACCCAGCTTTCCACAGCCACTCCATTGCCAGCTGCTTGAGGGCAGATGCCACTCCCTCTGGGCCCCTCAGTCCCAGCTCTTGAGCACATGAGCCAGTTCCTGAGTAGCGGTGCCTGCCCCCCCGCGCCCCCCCCCCCTGCTCCCAGGGCCTGGGCCAGGCCCTCCCACCTGTCCAGCCCTCTCCTTGTGATGTCTTTGGTGGCATTGTGGCAGGTGGCTTGGAGGCCATTTGGCAAGAGGTGACAAGTACCTGAGCCAAGCCACGGTGGCAGTCAGGCTGCGGTGATGACACTGAGGCGTCACCGTGAGTAGGGTGGGAGCCCAGAGAGCCTGAGGCCGGCTCCATCCTTTGGTGGCATGGAGTCACAGGGACCTTTGGTGGGGGCAGGGCCTCTTAGGAGAGTCTGCTTGAGAGTGGGGAAGCAGCTGGCATGCTGCTTCCTTAAGGTGGTGGGCAGGGCAAGAGCAGAGGGTTCGTGGAGGGGGAAAATGTTCCAGAGCTGTGGCTCTGGGTCTCAAGGCTTAGTCAAGTCAAGCCAGGACTGCTAGGCTGAGGCATCTGGACCCCCGGCCCCCACGTTTCCCCGTCCCCGGGTTCTTTTTGGTGATACCAGAGTGTGACTGAGGCTACATCACAAACTAGAGCCCACCCTGCTTTCGGCTAAAGGCCAAAGCCCCCCTCTTAGCGGGGGGATGGTACCTTGTGAAAGAGCAGGGACTGGCACCTGGGAGGTACCAGAGGCCACGCCCTTTCCTTTGCCCAGACGGGCATCCAAAGGAAACCCAGACTCCCAAACATTGATCCCCAGCCCTGGCTGGCCTCAGTGGGTGACCGAGTGGCCCCAGCTCCCCCTGCTCTTATGCACCATCTCTTATGCACTGCGCCCCACCCCCGAGAACCCGAACGGGTCCACCGACTCGGCTCTTCCCTCCTTGACGCGGCGGCCAGACAGAGGCGACGAGGCACTGCTAGTCAGAAGGGTGCCTTGCGGAGCTCAGCCGGGCCCAGGGCTGCCGAGTGTCTCTCCAGCCCATTCTTTGGGGGAACTGCTGACTCTGTGCCCTGGGGTGACGCTCCTGCTCCTCCGTGAGCCTCCCCTCGCCGTCCACCTACCTGGGCGCCCCGCGAACAGACCCCCCGCTCCCCAGATTCTCCCCGGGGGCTGCCCACCAGGCTCTGCAGGAAGCTCCCCCCTGTTGCCCCTCGGGAGGTCACCTCAGTGGCGCCGTGGGAACCCCCTTCCCTGGAAGGCCGCCCTCTCCCCCGGCCGCCCTCACCTCCGAGCCCCCGCCGGGGGCTCCTGTCGAGCAGCGCTTCTCCTTTGCTCCCCGAGTGCGTCAGGACCCCGGGGAACAGCCTCCTGCCCCTTCCTTCCTCCCTTCCCGCCCCGCTCCCAGCTGCCGCGGCAGGGCGGGATCAGGGTGCGGAGACCCCGACACCGGCGGCCGGCCCGGGGCGCCCCGCTCGGACCGGCCGGGGGGCAGGCGGACGCGGAGATGGAAAACGACAGGATTTTATTGCTATGTTCGCGGTGGCTGTTAGCACAGTAAGAGGGTCCCCGCCGGCCCCGCCCGCACCCTCCGGCGACGTCGGGGCGCGGGTGCGCGTGCGGGCGCGGGGCGGCCTCTGAAGGGTCCGCTCGGCTGTCTGGGAAATGGAGGTGACACCGACGGGGCTTCATTAAAGCTGCTACGTGGAAGACTCGAGCCGTGGAAAGCGCACGGGCCTTGAGCTCGCGGGCCGGAGCGGCGCCCGAGGTCCTCCTGGGCCGGGGCCGGGGCCCAGCTCGGGTCCCCGCAGGCGTGCCCGGCCCCGGGGGGGGGGGGGGGGGGGCAGGGCGAGGGCCGGCCCCGGCGAGCCGGGCCGGCAGCCCTGGACCCGGACGGACAGGACGCCGGCTTGGGGGCAAAGAGGGTGTGCGGGGACACCCTTGGAGGCCCCCTGTGCACCTTCCCGCCCAGCCTGGGGCCGGGGTACACATGCACACCCGCTCGACAGACTTGCGCAGCGGGAAGCTTTGCTTGGCCTATGAAATTAGATCTAGAGATTCACACTCCTTGGCTGGGGGACAGCGAGGTCGCGGGGGCGGGAGTGGGGGGAGGGGCTTCAGGGCAGTTTTCTTCTTTAGAAATATACAAGCAGAAACCTCTCTCCTGGAGTTTTTACAAAATGTGCAAAATACAAGCCTTGTCGCCCACAGGCACAGTTCACATCTGGCGCTCGCCCACGAGCTCGCACTGGCCACGGCGGCGACTGGCGCGGGAGCCCCACGGCTCCGCTGCTGGCTGGCTCTCTAAGCTTCTAGAGTGGGGGGGGGGTAGCCCGGCTGAAACATTCGCCTGGTCCTGCTGCCCCTCCCTCCCCTTCCCTGCCCTCCCGGCCCGCCCACCGCGGCCTCAGGTGAGGACCCAAGGGCGCGCTGGGCGGAGCCGGGCCGGGCAGGCCGGGGCTGGGCGGGGGTGGGGGCGGGGGTGGGCAGCAGGCCTGGGAGGCAGCTTGGTTAAGGGGGGCGGGGAGGCATCTATTTTTGGTGGGTTGTGATATTTTTGGCGTTTTATTAAAAATGGAAAAAGTTATTTTAGGTAGCACGCGTGGTGCTTCCTCCCTTCCCCCTCAGGCAGACCCCAAAAGTGACAGGGAAAGGCAGGCCCCCTGGAGAGAGGGATGGGGGTGGGGGGAAAGCAGGGGCTGCTATGGCTACAAGAGGGCGAGCTGGTGACGTGGCCGCGGGCCGTCACATGACGCTCTCCACCACCACGACTTTGCTGCTCTCAGACACTGGGGTCAGGGTGGTCAGGCCCCTGACATCCGAGTCCTGAGCTCTGTACTCCAAGTGGTGGAGGCCCCAGACAGGCTGTGTCAGGTGCTGCCAGCGCTGCGGGAGAGAGCCCTGTGAGCCCCCCCCCACCTCTACCCCCGCTCCCGCCCACTCGGGACCCAGGGCCGCACCCCCGCCCGGGACACCCACTTGGCCGCCGGGCCTGCACCGAGAACATGGTGTCAGATGGTTAGCACGGGCATGGGGGTGAGGACAGGTGCCTCCCCGCCGCGGCCCCGGAGGGCCTGCTGTCCTCCACGGTCCCTCCCGTGACCCAACAGGAGGGAGGGCTCGGGGGGGGGGACTGACCTCAGCCATGGTCCCCTTGGCCCTGAGGAGGCAGCCCACGAGGTGCAGGGGCACGCACAGCATGGAGGAGAGCGCGAAGGTCCAGCCCACGGCCTCGCCCCACCACGGGTACACGTAAGTGTTGTTGTAGACCAGTGGCTTGTAGTACACCGCGTTGAAGATGAAGATGCCCTGTAAGGAGCCCCGTCAGTGGTGGCAGCGGCGGTCCCGGGTGCCCCCAGGCCTGCCCAGCGTGCCGGCCCTTACCATGCAGACCAGCGGGGTGAAGAAGGACCAGCACCACTTCATCCAGGGGCACGGTCGGTACCCGATCATGCAGGCCACGTCGTCCATGAAGCGGTCAGCTCCTGGGGTGTGGAGGCGGGGGCAGCTGGAGACCGCCTTACCCCCCGCCCTATCCCTGCCCCTGGGCCACCCCCGGCCCGGACCTACCGTACACCCAGGCCACCACCACACACTCCCAGAAGGCCTGCCAGAGCAGGGTAGTGCCGCTGGCTGAGTAGTAGTCGAACAGCTGGAAGACGTACATCCCGCCCTGGGGACACAGCCAGGTCAGGGCAGGGGTGGCGGCAGTGGAGACCCAGGGCGGCCCCTCCCTGCGCCACTCACATCGGTCACCATGGAGAGGTCGATGACAAAGCAGAGGGCGCAGCAGAGGGCCACGGAGATCTCCCTTTGGAAACGGAAGTAGTAGGAGGCCGGGAGGAGGTCGAGCAGGCCGGTGATGAAGCCTTCCACACCTACAAACTGTGGCCAGGCCCCTCAGGCCGTGCCCCTGGGCCAGCCACCCTGCCCCTCCCCACCCCAGCCCTCTGTCCCCTCCTGCCAACCTGACTGTCCAGACCGAGCAGCAGCAGCATGAAGAAGAATAGGGCAGCCCAGAGCGGGGCCACGGGCATCAGCGTCACGGCCCGGGGGTAGGCGATGAAGGCCAGTCCTGGCCCTGAGGGGAGAGGCAGTGTGCCGCCAGGCCAGCACCGGACACCTGGTGGCCAGCGCCTGGGCACGTGAGTCAAGGCCCTGCTCCCTGAGGGTGTGCCCATGAGGGCCCGAGAGTGGGGTGTCCGGCAGCTACTGCAGTCACAAGTCTGCAGGAACCCTGGAAAGGCCCAGCTGTCTCTGGGGTGATGGCGGGGCTCCAGTCGCATGAGTGCTCGCAGGGGACAGCCGTGCCTTGCAGCGACTCGGCGGCCTGCCCGGGCCTGAGCGATGCGATGTGTACGTCTGCACCTTTCTTTCTCGGAATGTCTGCCCGTGTGTGCGTGTGCGCAGTAGGTGCCATGGCAGCGCCTGCTGTGTGTGTGGGGGCGGCTCAGGGTCTTTACCTGATTCTGCCACCTTGGAGATGTGCACGCCTTGCTCGGCAGCCATGAAGCCCAGGATGGAGAAGACCACGAAGCCGGCGAAGAAGCTGGTCCCGCTGTTGATGAGCGCCAGGATGATGGCGTCCCTGGCATGGAGGAGACGGGGCAGGTCAGGCTGCCACCACCCCCAGGCAGGCAAGGACAGGGCGGGGACAGGGATGCCTACTTATAGCAGTTGTTGTTGAAGCGATTGTAGCTGCCCAGGGCCGTGAGGGCCCCCAGGCCGATGGCGTAAGAGAAGAAAATCTGGGTCCCGGCGTCTATCCACACCTGGAGAAGAGCCGGCACAGGGCGGGCATGAGGGGCCTGCAGGGCGGCGAGCCCTCTCCCCCCACCCTCTGCCGACACCTCACCTGAGGGGACCCCAGCTTCGACCAGTCGGGCTTGAGATAGTAGACGATGCCATCCAGGGCGCCGGGCAGCAGCACTCCGCGCACCAGCAGCACCACGAGGACCACGTAGGGGAATGTAGCGGTGAAGTACACGATCTGGGGGGCAGGCGGCTCAGAGGGGCCAGTGGCGGCGCCCCCAGGCCCTGCCCAGCAGACTCCCACACCCGGAGGGCTAGGCTGGCACCTGTGATCAGAGGTGAGGAGGAAGGGGCCAGGCCCCCTCACTCCCCAGTGCCACGGCTCCCCCAGAGGAAGAGGGGGGCTGGGCAGAGGCAGCACCTCCCCAGGCCTGGAGGGGCCCTTGGCCTGGGGCAGGTCCCCCCCCGCCCTGAGTCAGCACAGGCCTCTGCCCCGCTCCTGGGGGTGGCCAGCTCAGCAGGACCCTGCTGGGGGCACCCTCAGCACGTCTTGTTACCAGGTGTCAGAACCCCCGAGGGAGGGACCCCCCCTCCCCGGGTCCCCAGGGCCAGGCAGGCAGGGAGGCCCACCCAGACCTGCAAAGCAGACTCAGATAATGAGCAAGGAAGAGAGACCAGGGTCACGGGGTGAGAGGTGCCCGATGAGAGGGAGGGGCAGCTACAGCCCGGGCCCCCTGAGGGAGAGGGCTGAGGGGTGTGGACTGGGAGGGTGGGGAGACTGTCCGGCAACGGGTGAGGACCAAGGGGCCTGAAGTGAAGTCCCTGCCCGCCTCAGGTGCTGGCCCTGCCCAGTCATTTTTCTGTGGCAGAGATGGATCCCTGGCAGAGAGACACACGCTGGGCCAGACTCTCCCAGTACCTTTCCTGTGGACTTGACCCCCTTCCAGACGCAGAAGTAGACCAGCACCCAGCAGGCCAACAGACACAGGGTCACTTCCCAGTTGAGGGCCCCTGGCACGTCCAAACCCCCGGAGAGGCGCAAGACTTTATTCCTGGGGGCGGGTGGGGGAGGGAGCCCCTGAGGATGAGCCACAGAGCGCCCCGGGCCCTGGAGCGAAGCCGTGCCAGGGGTGTGCGGGGCAGCTGCCCCCTCCCACAGCCCCGAGTGTCCCAGTTCCCTCCCGGGGCCTCGTGGGTGCCCTGGGCGGGGTGGTGGGGTGGCCGCCGACTCGGGTGCCCCTGCCTGCAGCCAGCGCTCCGCCGGGCTGCGGACGCGACCCGGGGAGGGCGCCCGGGGACCGTGGCCGGAGGGAGCAATGGTGCCGAGGGTGCAAGGCCCGTGTCACCCGGCTCGCCGGGGTGGGGGTGTGGGGCGGGCCAGGCGGCGAGGACCGCTCGTCACGCGGGGTGGGCCTGGGGGTGCAGACTGTGCCCAGCACACACAGACTCGTGGGAGCCCGAGGGACAGGCCAGGCCCGGCCCCGAGCGCTGACTCACTCCCAGAACTCGATGACTGGGGACCGGCGGTCAGCGAGCTGGTCACATGTGAGGTTGGCCAGGCTGGCGTTGGCACAGTCTTCGTGGCGGAAGATCTCCACGCAGTCGGGCGTGTTCCAGGTGTGGCCGCACGTGGCCCAGGGCAGCGTGGTGGTGAAGGACTTGACCAGGTAGTAGAAGCCCCAGGCCAGCACCATGATGTAGTAGGTGTTGCAGTAGAAGACGATCACCATGGAGGCGTAGCCCAGGCCTGGGGCGGACGGGCTGCGTGTCCGCGGCGCTCTCCGCCCTGTCATCTACCTGCCAGGGCCCGCCCGTGCTCCCTGCGTCTGCCCCTGCCCCCCTCCACCAGCCATCCCCCCGGCCCCCTCGGTCTTGCTCTGGAGACTCTCCGGGCTCCCCGCGCCCCCAGCCCTCTCCTGCCAGCACCCCAATGCTGGGTGACTCCGGGCTGTGTCTGCATTAGCCTCAGTTCCTTGCTCACCCCCACCCCCACCTCCATCCCCCCCAGACTCCAGGCAGAGTCCCTCGGGTCCCGCCCCCATCTGGGCGCCGAGTGCTGTTGCTGCCCACCCCACACGCCTGTCCTCTTGGCGCCCGCTGCTGCACAGCCACCCTGCCCCAGGCCGGTCCTGGGCCTTCTGCTGAGCCTCTCAGTGGGCAGCCTCTAGGCCCAGCCCCTGTGCGGCCGCCTCCTAGGGCCTTGAGGGACGGCGCCTGCTCAGAAAGGACTCTCAGGTGACCTTTGCCTTCAGTCCTCCCCTTCAGACCCTGAACTTGTGGTGGGTCCTTGCTGCGGGATCCCAGCCAAGCCGCGGCGGCAGGCCCCCTGGCCGTGGGAGAGGGCAGCCGCCGCTGCCGCTAGAGCCAGCCACCCTCCGCTCGCCTGGGTGGGCCCGGCGCGCTTGTGGGCCTGCCCCTGCCCTGGTGGAGAGGAGCGCCCCCACCCCGAGCTCCCCAAGGTCATGGGGTGGCCTTTGTGTCCTGCGGGGCACCCTTTGTAATTAGGGGGGCCATCATGTGGTCTCCCACCTGTGCTCAGAGATTTTCAGGTGGGGTCCAGCCTGACCCAAGATGTCGGAAGAAGGAAGGGTCCCTGGGGGAGGTGGGGGGGGGCCCTGGGCTGCTCACCTTTAAACAGGGGGCAGATGTTCCAGACGTTGATGCTGCCGGCCTTCATGAACTGGCCCAGCGAGATCTCCAAGAAGAAAATGGGGATCCCCCCCACCAGGGCGATCAGGACATAGGGAATAAGAAACACACCTGGGGAGGAAGCAGGGGCTCAGGGCGAAGCCATGGGGTGGCCTCTGGCGCTGTCCCAGTGCTGCGGGCGCAGGGCAGGCTCCCAGCGGAGGGGCTTGACTTGAAGCCCCAGCGGCCAGCACGGCCTGCAGCAGCTCTGGGAGGCCAGGCGGGGGCCGGCCGCTGCTGGCTCCACCCCGACTCCATCAGCACTTCCCGCTGGTGAATCAGTGCCACTGACTCAGAGGCCCAAGGTGAAAACACGTGGGGGGGAGTTGAGTGTTGGGGGGCAGCCCCTGCGACGCTCCAGCTATGGGCTGAGGGGCCATGCACAGAAGGCTGCCAGCTGCATGGCCACCTTGGGGGGCCTCTCGGGGTAAAGGAGACACGTGCTCACACAAGGCCGCCCCTCGTGTTGCAGTCCCTGTTTGCCAGGCGGCACGGGGAGGAGCAGCATGCCTGTGTGCGCGCCATGGCTGGAGCTCAAGCCTGCGGACTGCCCAGCTTGGGTGAGGACAGGCAGCTGCTGCCTTTGCAGCGCCCAGATGTTTGCCGGGGTGGGTGAAGGGCTGGGTGGCATGGGATAGGGAGGTGAAGATGTGTGTGAGCAGGGACAGAGAGAGACCAGGTAGGGGAGAGGTAGGTATGTGCGGGGAACGTCAGTGGGCTGGCTCTGGAGGTGGCAGGCAGGGCAGTGAGGGCCAGAGGCAGGCTTAGGCCAGGAGGCTGGGGGACAGGGTGGCAGCTGGGTCTCGGCAGCTCTTTGCTGGGGGCTATGGTCCTCCCTTCTGGCCCAGTTCTCTGATACTCAGAAGCTGGGCTTGTGTGCAGGTTACAGGTCTCCTGGTCCCAGCATCCTCTGTGTGTGACCTTGGGCTGAGGCCTGTGCTCTGGGCCTCAGTTTCCCACCCATTACCTGCTCATAGTGGCTTCCCCTCAAGCTCAGGGCAGCCCTGCAGTCACAGGGCACATGGGTGCCCATTGCTGTTGCTAAGTTGGGTGGGTGGGTGGGCATGGGTGTGCAGGCCGTGGGTTTAGTGGCAGCGGCAGGCCACAGGCTTCCTGAGCTTGGCTCAGGCACCCAGTGTTCCAGGCCCGGCTGGAGGGCAGGGGGAGGGACAGTGGCCCATTGTGTGTGTATGTGTTCGTGTGTGCACACGTGGGGGGCCCACACAATGTGCCACTTGTGTGCGCGGCAGCGGGGGCAGCTAGGGCTCCTCACCTCTGGGAGCCACCCTAGGAGGCCAGCTCGCCTGCCCACCTCGGTGGCCAATCATTCCCGGCCCAGGTCCGGGAGTCCGGGGGCCCGCCCCGCGGCTTCAGTCGGAGGCGCCGGCCCCCCCCCACGCTGTCAGGCACATGACTAGCCCGAGGGTGGAGGCACGGGCCGGGCACGGAGCGCCCCCCGGCCCGCCGCCTCCCCAGCCGGACTTCGGCCGGCCGGCGCGGGCGGGGGAGGGGCGCGCGCGGGGCTCACCTCCGCCGTTCTTGTAGCACAGGTAGGGGAAGCGCCACACGTTGCCCAGGCCCACGGCGAAGCCCACGCACGACATGATGAAGTCCATCTGGCGCGTCCAGGTCTCGCGCGGCGGCACGGCCAGGCGGCCGCCGGGTGCCCCCAGGCCCGGGGGCCCGTCGCCCTTGGCGGGGGCCCGTCAGGCCCGGGGGTGATGAGGGGGCCCTTCTTCTCGTCGCCGGACACGCTGTAGATGCCGTTCTCGGCGCTCTTCTTCGCCATGGCCCCGGCGGGCGCTGCGGCCGGGCGGGCGGAGGGGGGCGCCGGCGGCACCGGGGGGGGGGGGGCCCCGAAGGCGCGGGCCCGCCCGGGGGCCTCGGGGCGGCCGGGCCGGGGGTCGGGGCGGCGGGCGGGCGGGCGGGGCGGCGGGGGCGTCGCGGTCAGAAGCAGTCCACGAAGCACTTGAAAGTGAGCCTGAAGAATCTCATGTGTGTCGGGGGCCCGGGGGCGCGCGGGCGACGGCGGGGCCCGGCCGGGCGGCGGCGGCGGCGGCTCCCAAGGCTCCTGCCCGCGGCTCGGGCGGCGGCGGCTTCGGCCCGGGTCCGCGGCTCACCCTAGCGGGGCGCGGGCGGCATGGGGCGCCCGGGGCAGGGTCGGGCAGCGGCGGCCGGAGCCGGGCGCCGCGGCCCGCGCCCCCCCCCCCGCCGCCCCGCACCCGGGCCCGCGGCGGCGGCGGCCGGCTCTCCCGCGGCGGCGGTGGCGGCGGCGGTGGCGGCGGCGGCGGCGGCGGCCCGGGCGCGCCTCGCCCCCTCCTTCCCGGCGGCGGCGGCTCCAGCCGCTGTCCGGCCGCGCGGGTTCAGCGTCTCGCCCGCGCTCGACCGTCGCTCTCCTCCCGGCCCGGCCGGCCGCCGCTTAAGAAGCGAGTCCCGGTGATGTCACTGGCGCCCCACCCCCACCGCCGCCGCCCCTCCCCCCGCCGCCCGTCTCTCCGCCCCCCGCCGCCGCCGCCCCGCAGCCGAGACGCCGCTCCGGCGGGGAGCGGGATGGCGGCTACCTGGGGCGCGGGCGGCGCCCCGTCCGCAGCCCACCGCGCGCCCCGAGCCGGCCCCCCCCAGGGCCGCGCCCGCCGGCTCTCGAGGCGCCCGCCCCGGCGGCCCCCCGCGGTCCCCGGCGGCCGGGGCCCCGCCGGCTCCCTCCGGCCCGCCCGTCTGCGGCCCGTCTCGGACCCCCGCGCGGGGGGCAGGGCGGGCGCCCGCTGCAGCACCCGGGCCCGCAGTCGTCCCTCCCCGCCTGCGCCCCACCGGGAGCAGAGGGCCCCGGGCCCCCGCCGGCCTGGCCGCCGCCGCCCCGGGCGAGGTTCGGGCGCGGGCTCTGCGTGCAGGTGGGCCGCGGGCCTTCGCCACAGGTACCACCCTGCCTGCCCCTGGCACTCGGCCCTCCGCCCGCGCCGGCCCCGGCAACGGAAGGTCCGCTCCCAGCCCTCGGCGGACAGGTCTCTGCCCGTCCCTTAAGGGGGCGGACGGGGGGCGCTGCTGGGCAGAAGAGTCCGGGCACTGTGGGGCCGAACTGCCCAGGGGGCTCTTTGTGCCCCCCGCCGCCCCCACTCCGCCGCGCCGGCCCGCAGCCGCACAGCCACAGCGCAAGGCTGCCCCCTGCTGCCCGGCAGGTGCACAGGCCCTTCCCGGACACCTCCGTCCCAGGTCCCCGTTCCCCACCACCGGCGAGCCTCCCCCGGGGCCTCCAGGCCTCCCCAGCAAGAGCAAGGTTGCTCTGCAGCCTCCCCAGCGCCGGGCGAGCAGCTTGTTCGGAATTTTCCAGGACAAGAGCGGCCGCGCGGTGGGGAAGGAAGGGGTCATTGTTCCCCGCGGCCGGGAACAGCACCCCCTCCCCCGTCCCAGGCTCCCCAGGCTCCCGGTGCGCTCTGCACTGCCCAGATGGCTCATCCCGTTCATCTGCGCCCTCAGCCCTCCACGGCTCTACGAAGAAAATCAGCTCTGGCCTGAGCCAGTTGAAGCTGGGTAGGTGAGGGAGGGGCACCCTCTCCCCTGCAGTTGGCAGAGCAGCCTGTGTGGGTGGGGGCTCATGGGGCAGGCACCTCGGGCGTGGGGACCCCTGCCACGTGGCAGGCTCGCTCTCGCCATCAGAAGACTCTCACTTGAGTCTTCTCTGGCCCAGCCTGGGGCTGCAGCTGGTGGAGACAAAGAAGCCACAGAGAAGCAGATGACCCCTGGGCAGCCTGGAGCAGCGAGGCCAGCAGGGCCAGCACTGAGGGGAGGACACCCCTGCGCCCACTGGAGAGCAACCGGGGCAGCCAGCAAAATGACCATGCCCCTCTGCAGGGCGAGGGGGTGGCATGCAGGAGTGGCCACCCCTGCACACCTTCTCAAGAAGCAGGGAGGGTCGAGGCCCTGCGGGGGACTTAAGGTCTTGCAGGCCCAAAGAGGGGAGCGGGCAGGGGGCAGGGAAGAAAGGCGTGACTGACCGGTAGATGCCCACCAGTGCCGGGAGGGGCCGAGGTGAAGAGAGCAAGGCCAAGGGAGCCTGAGAAAGGCGGCCGGGAGCCGAGGGTGGGGGCCCTCCTCCGCTTGCCAGCTTGGCTGCCTGAGGAGGCGGGTTCCAAGGCCAGGGGCAAGAACAATGGGGCGTGGGGGTGGAGGGGTGTGGGCAGGTGGGGGGAGCTGCCATCTGGGGCTGCTGTGGCCTCTGTGGGTTCGGAGGCCTCTGAGAGGGAGGTGCCCACAAGACATGAAGGGCGAGGTGGCTGCTTGAGGACGTCTGGGGGAACACACCCACCCACAGACACACTGCTGCCCTCGCGGGGTGTCTCTGGTCTTTTGGAGCAGGGGTCTCCACGTCTGTGGGGTATACAGGCCCCCAGACACTACCCTCTGACTCTCCTGGCCCCCATGGCCTCCTGCTCCTGGCCGGGCCACCTCTTGCTTCTTTTTATCGCACCAGCCTCACCAAGTCCCCCTCTCTTCTTTGGACTTTTCCAGAGCTGGAGAGAAAATGAAATTCTTCTCCAAGACCTACAAGATCAGGCACGACCTGGCCTGCGGGCTCCCGGCACTGAGCAAGCAGTCTCCAGAGCTCCCCTCCCAACGCAGCCCTCCCCCCACCCCCCTACGCCTGCTCAGCTTCTTTGCTGAAATTCCCTCCCCCACCCCCACCCAGGCGGTCCCACTGGACTCAGCTCAGCAGCCACCCAACTGGGCTCACACTTAGGGGCCAGACGCCAGCTCAGGCACCTTACCCTGTGGGCATCCTCTCGCCCCCACCCCCACCTCCTGAGCCTCTCACTCCTGCCTGGGCAGGGTAGGCTTCTGTGGCACCCCAAGTTCACCGGCCCAGCCTCAGCCCCACAGTGAGGCTGAAGCTTCCTGGGCGGGGCGCGGCCTGCCAGAACGCCAGCCTGAACAGCTGCGGGAGGGGGGGATGTGGGGGGGAGCAGAGGACTGACGGGGCAGTTAGTGTCCTGGGCCTGGAGGTTGTTCCTGGGGCTGTGTGCAGGTGCCACCGCCCTCTGCCCGGCAGCCCTAGAGGGGTGGGTGGCACCCAGGATGAGCCCTGCCAGGCTGACTTTCCTCACCAGCAGGAGGGGGTGGGGGCCGTGGACCTGTGCGCAGCCCAGAACGGGTCCTTCAGCTCCCGGGGGATGTGTCCTATGCGGGGCCCTGCCAAGCCCCGGGCAGGGACAATCTTTCAGGGCCCAGTTAGCATGAGGGGGGCACATGGGGGTTGGGGGTGGGAGGAGGAGCTGAGGAGGAGGCGGGGAGGATGCCCAGGAGGGAGAGCGAGCTGGGGCATCCCATTGTCCAGGCAGGCCTGGGGATCTGAGCTGGGAACTGGACCGGTGCCCCAGGCGAGTAGGGTGGCTGGGAGGGATGGGATGGGGTGGGGCTATCCCCAGGGCCCCCCCCCCCAGCTGCTGGCTGCTGGAGCAGGGTGGGGGGTCCTCCTGGGGAGGGCTATGGGCAGAGCAGTGTGGGAATTAGAGCCGGCTGGGAACAAAGGGAAGGCCAGAGCCACCTCGAAGGGCTTTTGTGTTTCCAGCCGGTCCACAAGGGGAGAGGCTGGGGGCGAGTAGGGTCAATGACTGGGCTGGGGAGGGGTGGCCTGTCCCCAACTCCTGCGCAAGTGGCTTGCCCACCACAGACGCCCCTCCCCCAGGGGTTTGTGCATGTGTTTTTTGTTTGTAGAACTTGGGGGGGGCCGCAGCCCGCCCGCATGTATGAGCTCCTTTGCAGCTGGGGTGATTCTCTCAGACAATGTACTCAAAAGTCCTGGAAGACTTTTCAAGTCTGTGGTGACAGCAGATCCCTTTCCCTGGCATTCGAATCACGAGCCGGTCCCATCTAATGCTGTGAGCTCCTCGTTCCTGTTTTAATAAAAGTCTTTTACGAGGAGGGCTTTCGATGTCCGGACAAGTCGCCGGCGAGCTGGGAGAGTTCCCACACAGCCCCCAGCGCCCCCCTGGGCAGGCGCGCGGGTGGAAAAGCAGCCATCGCGGGAGGCCCTCCGCACGCCAGGCCCGCGGTCTGCTCGGCCGGGATCCCTCGCCTTTTCCCTAGTGTCTTTGTGCCCGAGACTTTGCAGTGCCAGCGGCCGTCACGTGGCCCGCTCCCCTTGGCTGGCCGGGGCCTGCGGAGCTCGCTCGGGAGCGCGGCCCCTGGCGGTGGAGCGGGCGGCCCGCGGGCGGCGCTCTGGGAGGAGCCGAGGGAGCAGCCCTCCCTGCGCGTCCCGGCTCGCCCACCGCCTGACTCATCGCCGTGCCGGGCACCTGGCTCACCCGGCCGCGGCGGCCCGCGCAGCCCGCGCCCGAGCAGGGGCCGCGCGGGGTCCACAGCAGGCGCATGGCCTGCGCAGCTCGTCCCTGCCCCTCTGTGCTCATGGGTCACATCCCTTCTGTACCATAGACACGGTTCATGACTTTGGTAATAACCCGGGGCTCCTTCATTGATTCTGTAGCTCGAATGATCCCGTCTCTGACCACCGGGAGCTCCTTCGCGGGCTCCGGCGTCTCCCCGCCTCCGCGTCAGCGCCAGTGCGCATGCTCTCCCGGCGGGGGCTCCTGTCACGGCCGTGGAGTCAGCCCTTGCAGCAAGGCCCCGTTCATCTGGGCTTCCAGCACCGTGCTCCCGGGCCCGGGGCGCCAGAGCGAGGCGCGGCGAGCGCCCGGCCCTGGCCGGCTGCTGTCGGGGCCGCGTGCACGCTGCACAGGTACCTGCAGAAGCAGGTGGAGGCGCGGCGGGCCGGGCGGCACAAGGGCGCGCTTGGGAGGCCCGGGCCCGCGGCGCGGGGGCCACGCCAGCCTCTCCCTGCCTAGCTCTAGCGTCGTGCCCCACGCCGAGGCCTGGCTCCCACGGCCAGGCGCCCCCCGCCGGCCGCCCGCGGCAGCGCAGCGCAGGAGCAGGGGCTGCGGCACCAGCCCTTGCCGTCCCCGACAGAGGCCGAGAGGCCGAGAGGCGGCCCGTCAGGGCTCGGTGCTTCCGGTTCACGGACTCCGCTCGCCTCCCCAGCGGCTTCCTCGGCCCTTTCCCTGACCCCCTCCCGCGAGGGGGATTCGTGCATCTGCAATCCCCGGGGGTTGTCGGTCGTCGTCTGCGTTCTTTTCCAGGGTGCCCGACCTCCCAGATGACTTTTCACTACACATGAAGAGTCACTCTTGTCCTTGTCGCACAGGTCAGGGCCCCCACCAGCCCCCAGGGACTCCCCCAGCCAAACGCTACCCCTCCACACCGATCTGGTCACCGTCTCCACAGCTCGGCTTTTTCTGGAATGTCATGTAAGTGGGACCCCGTGCTTTGGAGCCTGTCCAGATCAGCTTCTCTCCCACAGCGACGCGGCTTCGTGCAGCTCGAGTGCGCCCTTCTCTTCCCCTGGCACCAGCGCGCTGTCCGCGGTTCCTCACCCGCTTGTCCACTGCGGTGTTGGGGTCGCTCCCCTGGGCCGCATTCCAGCCTGGCTCAGGGTCCTTTCAATTTGCTCAGAGTCGGGCACCCCCCAGGGCGCTGCCGTCCCCCGGGTCCTTGCGCTTGATCTGTGCGCGTCGCGTGCTCTATGTCCTGTCTGGCGAGATGCCTGCTCGGGTCTTCTGGCGTCTTCGTGCGTGGTTTGTTTTCTTGTGGCACAGTTTTCCGACCTCTTTGTGCACCGCCAGACACTCATTTGCCAGATGTGTCCTCTGGCCCCCCCCAGCCTGCAGTCTGTCCCCTCATTCCTCAGAGCGACGCCAGCGAGCACGGAGCCCGAGGAGGCACTCCCGCTGCCCTTTGTTCCTCCCTGCAGCACGCTTTCCACAGGGTGTCTGAAACCGCATCCCCCGCCCGGGGACGCGGACTTTCTGCTTTGTAGGCCTGTGACCCCTGCAAGGTGACCTGTCTTCCGTGAGAGGGCCTCAGAAAAGATTTTTGAAAAGCTCTTCCCCCTCCCCCAACACACACGGCCCACAGTGGGACTGGCAGCAGCGTGTCTCCCATGTAGGGTCCGGGTGAAGGGCGCGCTGGCCACCCCAGTGTGACTTGGGGTCACGGCTGCGGTGGTGACGTAGCTTTTGTCTGGGTCCAGCCACAGGGAAAGCCCCTGGGCAAGGGCCTGCGTCCCCCTGCCGCTCCCCACCTGGTCTCCCTTGCCAGAATTGCTCTGAAAGCGGGGATCTTCTTGCCCCCACTTTTCCCCCTGGGGCTGTGTCCTCAGTCTCCCAAGGGACTTCCCCCGCAAGGCACAGCATGGTCGCCAGACTGAGGCGGCAACAGCGGCAGGACGGGGGACACAGTTTGTGTCAGCTCCCTCAGGTGTCCGCAGCGGCGGGACTTCCGGCCCGTGCGGGGCAGCCTTCCTGTCGCTTCGCCTGGTTGTTGTGCTTTGGGTGGGAGCCTGGGGAAGGGTGAGCAGGGCCAGTGCTGGGCCCCTGGCTCCTTCTTCAGTGAACTCGGGGCGGCCACTGGGAGGGGTGGGGGCCTAGAAGCCAGCAGCACCTTCTCAGACTCACTGGATTTGGGACTGAGGACACACGGGAGTCAGGTCTGGAAAGGTGATTTTTTAAAATTCAGCCCTGCCCTGGAGACCATCTGGAAGGCTGATATGTCGGGGATCCACAGACCCCGGTGAAGACAGAATCAGAGGCCAGTCCTGGGCTGTGCGGCTCTGTGGTGAGGAGGACAAGATAAAGAAGGCAACGTTGCAGTGGCACAGGCTCTAGAGAGTGAGGTAGAGGCAGGGAGGGCCTGTTGGAGGAGGTGACACTTGAGGTGAGCCTGCGAAGTGAGGGAGCGAGTACGGCAGGTATCTGAGTGAAGAGCACTGTGGACAGAGTCTCCAAGGGCAAGGCCCTGGGGCAGGTGCATGTGTGACTTGTCGGTGGGTGACAGTGGAGAGGAATGGCCTGAACGATGATGGCCAGGTGGGTCTGTCACACACAGCCCTTAGGCCACTGTGAGTTGGAGTGGCCGGGAGAGCTGGGTTTGAAGCCCAGGGGCGAGAGGATCTCAAGAAAAGGCCTGTGTGACTCTCAGTGGCTGGGGTTAGGGTTAGTGGAGAGGGGAAGGGTAGGGACGGAGGGAGCCCAGTGACGAGGCTGCTGCCCTCAGCAAGGGAGCACGATGGGGCTCAGGCTAGGTTGGCAGAGGTGGCAGAGGCCTGGCTGGGGCTAAGGAGGGAGGCTGTTGTAGAGCCATGGCCTGGACGGGGGTGGGGGGAGCTACTAGAATAGAGACTGGAAAGCTGGTGGAAAGCCAGGTGGACAGAGGGGCGCAGAGAGGTGTGGGGAGGACCCAGGCGACGCAAAGGCCCTGGGGTCAACCAGTGAGGCCGCGGAGGGTGGTGCTGGAGCCGGCCAGCAGCAGCGCGAATGGGAATGGCCAGGGAGGAAGGGGCGGCGCGCCGACCCTGATCTCCTGACAGGGCGCCCGGGACCGCGCGCTCGGCGGCCGGCGGGGCGCGCGGAGGGGGCGGCGCGGCGGGGGAGCGGCGCGGCCACGGTGCCTGGCGACGCGGCGGCGCGGGCTCCAGGTCGGCAGCGGCCGCTGGGGGCGCGGACGCGCGGGCGCGCGGGCGCGCGGGCGGGAGCGGGGGATTCCGGGTCCGTAGTCGCCGCAGCCCCCGCGCGCCCCCGCGCACACCTGTCACGCCAGCGCGCCCCCGGCCGCACGCGCGCTGCCCCCGCCGCGCGCGACGCGGGAGCCTGTCGGCCGAGTCCCTCCCGCCTGAGGCGCCGAGAGCCGGGCTGAGCCTGGGTGGCCCGCGTGCGTGGCCCTGGCGGCGGCTGTGCGCGGGGTTCGCAGGTGCATCTCGGGCAGATGGGTGGTTTGGGGGCGCCTGCAGGCGGGCGCTGTGCCGGGGGAGGGCGGCAGATCTAGGCCTGGGGCCGGTGGGGGGTTCCTCTGGGTGCTGTGGGTGGGGGTGCATGGAACCTTCTGGCAGGTGGCCAAGTGCCGCTGAGGCTGAGTCGTGTAGACGCCGAAAGGGGGGTGTCTGGGTGCTGATCCCCGTGGGGCTGTCAGTGTGGGGGTGCTGGGCCCTGCCGGGTATGTGGTGGGGGTCGGTGTCTGTGGAGGCCTGCTGGGAGGCAGTTGCTGGGAGTGAGGCCCTGGGCCGTGGGGGAGGGGCGAGCGGTGGGGGGTGCGCACTCTGGCCGGTCGGCAGTGAGGCGGTGGCTGTCACTGAGGGTGGCTGGGTCCTCTGCCTGCCCCAGACATGCTGCTGATCAAGAAGCAGACGGAGGACATCAGCAGCGTCTATGAGATCCGAGAGAAGCTCGGCTCGTGAGTGTGCGTGAGTGTGAGCCTGCGTGTGGCAGCCAGTTGATGTGTGTGAGATGGCAGATGGGTGGGTGTAACGGGGTGTCAGTGAGTGTGTGTAAAATGGGGTGTGGACGTGTGGCGTGTGTCATCAAAGGTGTGCCAGTGAGTGTGTGAGATGGGTGTGAACAAATGAGAGTGTCAGTGAAAGTGTGCGCCAGTGATTGTGAGTGTGGCTGGCGTGGGGGATGGGCGTCATGGGTGTGGGGCTCCCCCCTTCACTTGGGGCCAGTCGCCCGCTGGCCCCTCTCCTCTGTGCCCCTCCCTTCCCGCCTGACTCCTCTCGCAGGGGCGCCTTCTCTGAGGTAGTGCTCGCCCAGGAGCGGGGCTCCTCACACCTTGTGGCCCTCAAGTGCATCCCCAAGAAGGCGCTTCGAGGCAAGGAGGCCCTGGTGGAGAACGAGATCGCCGTGCTCCGAAGGTGCAGGGGCCAGGCCCGGCCCAGTGGGGTGTCCCGCCCCTCCCCCTGCCTCCTTGGTGCCCCCAGGAAGGCCGGACCTGGGGCTCCACCTTGCCGGGTGCGGTGGGGACAGCCTGTGCTGCGGGAGGGGCAGGGCTGGGGGGAAGAGAGGGCCGAGAGCCCCCTGACCTTCTCCACCCTCACGGGGGGTGGGGACAGCGAGGCCGGCCGATACCCACGAAGGGCTGCTTCCTGCCGTTGCAGGGTCAGCCACCCCAACATCGTGGCCCTGGAAGACGTCCACGAGAGTCCTTCCCACCTCTACCTGGCGATGGAGCTGTGAGGAGGGGGCGGGCTGGGGGCGGTGCTGGCAGCGAGTGGGAACCCAGGCGCCCGGGTCAGCTGAGCCCCGCTTCCCCAGGGTGACGGGGGCGAGCTGTTCGACCGCATCATGGAGCGCGGCTCCTACACAGAGAAGGACGCCAGCCACCTGGTGGGCCAGGTCCTTGGCGCTGTGTCCTACCTGCACAGCCTGGGCATCGTGCACCGCGACCTCAAGGTGCCCGCCCTCCCTTCCGCAGCCCGCCCCCCTCCCTGGGCACCGTGGCCTACGGCCCGCGGGCCCCAGCCTGGGCTGACGGCTGTTTTCTCTGGCGCCCACCGTGTGTCACAGCCCGAAAACCTCCTGTATGCCACGCCCTTCGAGGACTCCAAGATCATGGTCTCCGACTTTGGTCTTTCCAAAATCCAGGCTGGCAACATGCTGGGCACCGCCTGTGGGACCCCGGGCTATGTGGGTAAGTGAGGGGGCGCTCTGAGACTTGCTGGGGTCGGGGCGCCAGGGGACACGGCGGAGCCGTGGGGCCGAGGCAGGGCAGGCACGCGCAGCACTGAGGCCGGCGTGCTCGGCGCGGGCGCGTCTGTCTGTCTCTGGCCCCCAGCCCCGGAGCTCTTGGAGCAGAAACCCTACGGGAAGGCCGTAGATTTGTGGGCCCTGGGTGTCATCTCCTACATCCTGTGAGTGACTGCTGCAAGGCTCCTCTCCTCCTGCCTGCTCCCTGCTGGGTTGGGGAGGGTTGGACAGCTGAGTGATTCATCTGTGGGTGCCAGGCTGTGTGGCTACCCCCCTTTCTACGACGAGAGCGACCCCGAGCTCTTCAGCCAGATCCTGAGGGCCAGCTACGAGTTTGACTCCCCCTTTTGGGATGACATCTCAGAATCAGGTGAACTTGAGGCTGCCCCTGGCCCGGGCGGGCCTGTGCTGACGGGGAGCGGGCCCCGCGGCGCTCACCTGGCCTCCTTGCTCTAGCCAAAGATTTCATCCGGCACCTCTTGGAGCGAGACCCCCAGAAGCGGTTCACCTGCCAGCAGGCCTTACAGCATCTTTGGTGAGTGAGACCCGCCTGTGCTGACCGGGGGGCGGAGGGGCCTGTGCTCAGAGACAGCCCCCCTTGCTGAGCCCCAGCCTCCCCTAGGATCTCTGGGGACGCGGCCTTCGACAAGGACATCCTGGGCTCCGTCAGCGAGCAGATCCAGAGGAACTTCGCCCGGACCCACTGGAAGGTGAGCGCGGAGAGTGCCAGCCCGGCCACGCGCTCCCCTGCGTCAGAGCAGTGGCCTGGGCTGCCCACGGCCTGCTGGTCTTTGAAGCCTCGGGACAGGGCCTGGCGGAGCCCGACACCGCTCTCTGCCTGCAGCGAGCCTTCAACGCCACCTCCTTCCTGCGCCACATCCGGAAGTTGGGGCAGAGCCCTGAGGGCGAGGAGGCCTCGCATCGAAGGATGACCAGCCACAGCCACCCGGGCTTCCCGGCCAGCCAGCCCTCCACGTGGTGACGCCCAGGTGGGTGAGATGGGGGCGCGCCTCCAGGAGCTTACAGGCGGGGGGGACTGCACTGGGCCAAGGCTGAGCAGGGAAGACCCCGCTGAGCTGAGGGCTGGGAGCACAGCCGGGAGGGACCAGGGTTCCCATGGGAGCTGGTGACTTGGGGGGCCCTTGCTGAGAATCTCAACTCCAAGCTGGGGGTGCAGGACAGGCGGGGGTGTTCCTGACTGCCCCCTTTTCCTGTGCTTGTCTCTTCTCCACCCCAGGAAGATGGCAAGGCCGAGTGGATTGACCCCCACATTCCCCCCCCCCGAACCTTTCCGTCCCCTCCCTTCGCCCCCCGCCCCCGAACCCCCAGGGTGGCCTCTGCTGGAGAGTGAGACTCGTGGGTGTGGCACAAGGCGCTGGGGCGGGCAGGTGGCCCCGTGTGCCCCCCAGGTTCTGTCCTAGCCCGGGGGTGGAGGCATTCGCAGGGGCTCTCCCACCTGTGGCCGCCACACCTCCAGAGCCCCAGAGGCGCCACACCTCCGTGGCCCGTTCTTCCCGCGCGCTCCGCTGTGCTTCGCTGACTGTGGGTGATCACTTGTGTCGTGGCCCTCCAGCCCCCCTTCCCCTCCCTGCTTTCCCCTAATCAATAAAGACAGACAGAGCAAAGGCTGCCAGTGAGCAGGGGAGGGGAGGGCAGGGGCGGGGAGGAGTGCAGAGGGGTGGGTGGCACCGAGGAGACAGGCCCTCTGCCCGCGGGCTCCAGCGCACCACCCAGCCTGCCGCTCCCTCTGATCAGGGCAGACAAGCTCCCTGTTGTCCACGAGCTTCCTGTCCCCGCCCCACAAAGTGCCAACAAGAGGCAGCCCAGCGAAGAGCCTCTGCCACCCTGTTGTTGACCAGCCGTGGCCCTGGCGCCCAGGGATTGAATGGAAGCGATTCAGGCCAGCAGAGTGGTGGGCCGTTCTGGTCACTGCCCCGGGGTGAGTGGGGCCCCAGTGTCGCAGGGAGGGACCAGAGCCCCAAGCGGTCTCCTCCGATTTTCTGATTTTCCGCTTCCCGCCTGTGGCAGTGGCCAGACTGGGAGCCTTTCCAGGGCCGCCTTCAGTGCCAGGAGAGGGCGCCACGGGGCGCTTTGGAATCACCAGAGCCAGGCTAGAGGCAACCCCAGCGGGGTGCTTGTGGCTTCTGCTCTGAGGACAGCCCTCTGGGTGTGTGTGGCCCCTGCCCCTTTGTGCCCCCATTCTGGGCAGCGCGGGACTCCACACTCATGCCCTGTTGGGTCTTTCTCCCACCCAGGGAACACCCCTTTAGCCGCTCCTCAGCCCCAGCCAGGGTGACGGCGCACCCTCAGCTCTGCGCAAGCTGGCCACCCTTCCGCCCCGGCGAGGCCCAGCCCCTCCGCCCTCCGCACTGCTGCCCCCCGCCCCAGAGCATGATTGAGAAGGCCCCTTTCCTTGGCCACCTTTGAGACTCGAAGGGAGACAACAGGGCCCAAGCCCAGGCGGGGGAGAGCGACGAGAGCAGACCCGCTGCCTCCCTTGCTGGCCCACCCACTGGTTCCCTTGCGTGGTGCGCGGCTTTCTCCCCCCAGCTTCCTCCACCCCATGCACAACCCCACAGAGTCCCAGCAGCTTCCTCCTCCGCCCCAGGTACCCCGCTCCAGGCTCAGCGTGACGCAGCCCAGCCAGCATGCCTGCGGCCCTTTCTCCATTCACAGTTCAGGGCCCTCAGGATCCAGAGTCCTGGGGACGTCTCAACAGCTCAAGTCCCTCGATGACATGTCCCCCCCCCACCTTAGCTCCCTGCTTAGGGCCTTGCCATCCCCAGGGTCCCACCACCTTGGCAGGGCAGGCTCTTTGCCATCTGTGAGTCGCTCCCTCGGGACCCCAGCACACTTGCTGCTGTTCTGCCCACCGAGCACGATTGGGCCCTACTCCATGCCAGGCGCTGAGCCCAGCAGATGAAGTGCTGGCCTCGGGAGGAGGCGGCCCTGTCGTGGGGGGCGGTTCTTTGGTGATAAGAACGTCCTGTAGGGGAAAGCAGTGTGCTGGCTGCTCAGGGGCCTGTGAGCAGGTGGGCCAGAGCCAGCCTTCCAGAAGAACTGGCAGTTCCAGTCCAGGGCTGCACCAGATTATTGCTGCAGAGTCGGGGACCCCAGCCCCAACACTGGCTGCAGTTTGGCCTCCGGCCAGCAGGCGGAGCCATGGTCACGTCTTTCAACGTTCATCAGCCACCCTTGTTCCTTTACCACCTGGGCAACGGCTCAAAACCACCCACCTCCATTGTCCCCCCCAATCCAGCCTGGGGACGTCTGTACTTGGGGGCAAGGTTCAGCCCTGCCCATCTAGGGGTGGGGCGAGAGGGCATCCCCAGGCCAGGCAGAGATGGCGTTCCTCCTTTGTCCCTCAAGCCCTTAGCACGGGGGCGGTGTGGGCAAGCAAAGCTTGCTTGCTTAGGCCTTGGGGTGTGCGGCCAGGAGGCAGAAGGGACTGGTTCAGTCAAAGGCAAGAGATGGAGGGAGATGGAGAGGTTGCTGGGAGGGGTTCAGTGTGAGAACATTTTGGGTGCAGGGCTCAGCAGGTGCTCAGGTGCCCAGGGCTCTGCGGGAGGGTGCGGCCCGGGCCTGTCTCAGTGCCACCCCCGGAGGTGTCGTCGCCAGCGAGGGCTGTCGTGGGTCTGGTGAAGTGCTGAGCCTGGGTTGGTTGACAAACTCACGGAGTGCCAGTCAGGTGGCAGACACAGGGCGGGAAGAGAGGGGCAGCCTGGGGCATCACGAGAGGAAGGTGTCTCTCGTCTGGCCCACAGGGGCTGGTCACGCACGCTGGGTGGGCAGGAGTTCTGGGGAAACAGCCTGTGTGGCCACGTGCAGGGTGTGGTGCGCTTGGAGTCCTGGGAGCTGTAGGAGCCAGTGGGGGGTGTGGGGCTGGGGAGTGAAGGGGAGGGGGGCCCTGGGTGGATCGTGTGCTTTTGGGTGGACTGGGGAAACATTTTCAAAGGGAGGTCCTGTGGGGGCGCGCTTGCTTTTGGACTTTGTGAGTGTGAGGGCCCTGAGGGAAGCAGGCCCTCTCCCTGCGAGCACGGGCATGGGAGGGTGTGGGTCTGCCGATGGCTTTGCCACCACCAGCCCTGCTCTGACCTTCCACTCCCCACTGTTGTTGTCACCACTTGGCCTGTGGGAAACTGAGGCACAGAGTGGCCAGGTAACTGGGCCAAGGGGGCACAGTCCCGTGCTCCACCTTCCCACCTGCCTCATGCAAGTGAACAGGGCTTGCCCGTGAGGTGAAGATTGTTGGGGGCTGGGGAGGGCCCCCAATACTCTTCTCTTTTCAAGTGTCAACTGTCAGTGTGACAACGAGCAAGAATGGCCGGCTCCGGAGCCCTGTCCCAGGTTTGAGTTTGGGCCTCACAGGTGGTTTCATTGCCTCTGTCATCCTCTGTGCCCCAACTTTTTTACTGTTCCTGTAAAGCAGGGACCTGGGTGATCTTTCCACAGTGGCAGAGGGGGATCCTAGAGAGATGCCACCAGAGTTTAATGTGAAGGGGCACCAGGAAGTGGGGCAGGCCTGGTGGCCAGGGGCGAGGGGGGCAGGAAAGAGATGCGCCCTGTGGGAGGCCGCTGAAGCAGAAAGGTGGGGGTGGTGGCTGTGGGCTGATGGGGAGTTGTGAGGGCGTCAACCCAGGAGAGAAACAGGCCTTTGCTGGAGATGAGGGGGGTCAGTCAGGCCCCCTGCCAGGACTCATAGCTGAGTTCCTTCCTGCCAGCCACTCTGTGGGCACATCACAACTCCGTCTGCCACCCCCACGTCTCCACCCAGGCTGCAAGTGTGGGCGCTGGAGAAATAACAGCCTGCTTTGCTCGAATGAGCGTGGTTATAAGCAGTGGCCAGAGGTTGGCCTGGAAAGTGCATTCTCAAGAGGACACGGGGGAGACACCGGGGTGGGAGGCAGGTTTTCACTGTAAGAGACTTTTTCAATATTTGAGGCCCGTGCGCGCCCCTCTCCATCAACATAAAAGCCTCGCCTCTGGCCCTTTTCCTGAGCCCCCTCGGAACTTGATGGCTCCTTGCCCTGGGGAGCCAAGTGCTACCTTCCAGGCTGACCTGAGTAAAAGCCCAGTCGCTTTTTGTCACCTTGTGCTTCTTTCACTATGGCTTCCCGCCATTTTTGTTTTTTTTAATTAATTTATTTAAGATTTATTTATTTATTTATACAAGCACCGGGTACAGTCAGAAGCGCGGGAGGGTGAGAGAATCCACCAGAGACAGAGCGGGGAGCAGAGCAGGCAGAAGGACCGAAGGACACTGCTGAGGGGAGCAGCGGGCGGCAGGAGAGGTCTGCGCGCCATGTGGGACCCTCCTCCGGTGGCCGGGGAGCAGCCGGGGATCGAACCGGTGCCGCAGAGGCTGCGGGCAGCTTCGCAGCCCAGCGCTCAACCACTGCGCTACCAGGGGAGGCCCTTCCCGCCGTTTTGAGTCACGCATTGGGCGCAGGCGGGTCTGGGCTGTATCTCAGGTAAGTTGCATGAGAGGCAGTGACGCGCCCGGTGCTGCTCGCGCGCTCCGTCGCGCGCTCCGTCTCAGGCCAGTGCCACACGGGACTCCCTCCGATCGCCCCGCCTGGCCTGTCTTCCTCGGCCCTTTTCCTTGCAAACTTCACGTTGGTTTGCAGTTGGTGTGAGACGCTCGCGCCACAAACTCGCTCTTTCCGATGCACACCTCAGTGCTTTCTGTCCTGCTCAGTGGGCCCCTGCCCCGCGCCCTTTGCCTCGGGGACTTTCTCCTCTGACATCTCGCCTGTGGGCTGTGGGGCTGGGGGTCTGCTGCTCACGCGGCAGAGGCGCTGCAGGTCTCGCGCCGCTCCTGAGGGCCCCTCGGGCCAGGCATGTTCCGCTGCATGCTCAGGTCACCTCTCCTGCCTCTCTGTGCACCCTCAGGGGCCTCTGCACGCTTCTGCCTTCTTGCTGTGGCAGGGAGCGCTGCTGTGAGCTTCGCGCACGGCTTGGTGTGTGGATGTGTTTTCAGATGTCTTGAGTTTATCCCTAGAAGCGGGGTTTCTGGGTCCTGTGGCAACTCCCCGTTTACCTTTTGAAGAAAATGCCAAACTTCCCCCCCAGGTGACCACACCCCTTTGCGTCCCCACCAACAAAGCAGGAGGCTGCCGCCCGATCTTGCCGCCCCGCGAGCGCCAGTAGTCATGAGCAGCGTTGCCACCTCGTGGCTGAAGTGGCATCTCTCTGTGGTGTCCAATCACTCTGCCGTGATGTTCGGCGCCCTTTTGAGGGCTTATTGGTCACTCCTGCATATTCTTTGGAAAAATTTCTATTCAAAACTT